GGGTCGAACTACGATTTCCCCACTAATCCCATCTTCATTTTCCCCCACTACTGACCCGACCCCATTTCTTGACCCTTTCACGTCCCAAGTTCCCCTTCACGTCAAGAACCCCAATCTTCTCCCTCTCTGTAACCGGCCCCGGCATTCCTCGAGTTCCCCTTCTGTGTCGGATTTACTCATTCCTTGTTAGCGTGCGAGGCCGCCGAATCACTCCTCAACACCAAAGTGATGTTCACCGGTACGTGCATTGTTTCCTTCCATATCTGAACGAAAGGTCGAGCTCGGTGGCGGTGGAAACCTCAGTAGGGGAAATCTCGCCTCCTCTTCCTCAGAGAGAACGGAAACGTCGACGAGCTCGTCTCCATTAGCTGCCCCCATGTCCTCGTCGGAGCTCTCCAATTTCCAGGCCTCCAGACACGAGACAACAGTGTAGCCTGCGGAAGGAAGGAATAATCTAGGCGCCGCCTCCAGTCCTCGGTTGCTGGGGATGACTTGTGAAGCAGCACATATGTAACCGTGATAGTGGTCGGGATTGGATGGCCAAGAATGTCATCGGGATTGGGTTTAATGAAATCAGGTGGCCGAGATTCTCACCGGGATTGGGTTTGGGATGAACGAGATATGGAAATTTGGGGTTTTTTGTGTTTTCTGGATATTAGATTCATGGATGAAAATTGAACAGGAAGTAGAGAGAAATGGATTTTCTGTTATGGAAAGGAAAACGGGATAAACATTATTTTGTATGAGTGGGTAGGGTTCAAGGGTTTGGTTGGTTCAAGGGTTGGGTTGAACAAGGTGACATGGTGGGTTTTAATGATGTGATTGGTCGGGTTTCATAATTTTTGGGTTCGGTTAAGTTGACTAGACGATTTTGTTAGCCACAACAAATAACAGACTTATTTAACGTAAATAGACGAACACTAATAGTGAGTGACAGCAAAAGATGCAGATAATAAAAGTACACAAATTATATCTTCAAAGCATACAAACCAATATTACACGATTGACAAGTCAAATCATAAAAGTATACACATCAGCACGACGGACTTGACATGTGCGGGCATCATTTTTAGGTAGGGGTGGCTATTTGGACCGGGACCGGATTAAAAACCGAAAACCGGACCGTATAACCCGGACCGAGACCGGACCGGAACCGGATAGTAAACAATCCAATCCAATCTTTGGGCTTAGATTTGAGGTAAAAAACCGGATAAAGACCGGATAAGAGAGCTCAACACCCAAAACTTAAGGGTAATTTGCATAAACGGTCACAAACCTTTGCACTTAGTACAAAACTTAACCAACTCCTCACCCTTTAAGGCCTTAGGCCACTCAAATCCCACAATCTCAATGTAAAATCAAGACCGAATTGGGACCGGACCGGATCAAAACCGGACTGTATCCAATCCAATCTTCAGTCCTTATATTTTCAAAAAGACCGGACTGAACCGGATCAATTTGGGCCAATTTAACCGGGCCGGACCGTATAACCACCCTATTTTTAGGGCCTCCATTTCACTATCATATACAACTAATTAGCACTTAATTTATATAAAGAGCTCAGGCATGAGATGAGTTTCAGAATGTGTGGCTAATTATAGGAGAAAAAAGTTAATTTTATAGTCTTTTTGTTTTTATTTTTTAAGGAATAAAATAGAAATCATTCCAATTCCAACAAAAGACAACGAGTAGGTACCGATCACTAGTTTGGGACCAAAACCGCCTCTCACCTTTCTTAACTTGCTCTAAAAACAACAAATGCCAACGAATAACAATTTAATAATAATTAGTCATTGGCTTCATTAGAGGAGGTAAAGGCTGCTCTCTTGTTATGAAGGGATATATATCTTTACGTCCAAATGGCTTCGTAGCTGGATTCTTCAAGTTTAATTGGGAAATCGTAGGGGAAGATGTCACAAAGGCAGTCCAGGTTTTTTTTCATATCAGGCGCATGCTTACATAAGTAAATGCCACTTACTTAGGTTGTGATTCCTAAAGTGTTGAATGTTGATGCCATGAAGCTCTTTCGGCCGATCTCATGTTGCAACATACTATATAAATGCATATTGATAACATTGAATTTGCACATATTTTTACTCCTCGTTTCCGATTGTTTAGCTTGGTGTTTATCATATTTTGGCCTATTTTACATTAGGTTGTGTTCCTTTGTCACATTTCAGGCCCTAGCACGTAAAGTGAGATATAGGCGCAAGTTTCAAGTCAATCAGAGATCAATTGCCGACTCGGGGAAAGAAACTTAGGCATGACCTTAGGAAGAATGGATTTATACATATTTTTATGGATAAATAATCATATAATCTTGTCATAATGAGAAAGAGGACAAGACTACAAGCGCCTGGGATCAAACGGCGACTAAGTCGAAGTCCGAACGAGGAAGAAACAAGACATTCAAGACAGAGGAACATGAACAATGATTTCCACTGTTGGAAGCCAATTCCATGGTCGTGAATCAGGAGTTCATGTTGGTAAATCTATTCCACGACCGTGGAACGTGCTAGTAGCGATTATAAAGGCCTGTTCCATTCATTTTTAAAGGGAGAGAGTTGGGTTTTGGATGCCAAACACCCAAGGGACGAACCCTACAGAGAGGGACTTGGGAACATTCATGTAGCTATTTTGTAGGATTTCTTCACAATTGGATCTCGGAAATCAAGTCTGGAGATGGAGATTGAAGATCTAGATCAGATTTCTGCATTCTCTCTGTTCTCTATGCAGTAACTTCCCTTCACCTGGATTTTGAGGAACCCTAGTTCCATGTGTTAGGATCTTTCTTGTATGAAACTTTGGATATTATACTATTTGATTATAATCGATTGAGGCATGATTTAACGAGTTAATTGAATCCTGGTCAAACTCTCTTGATTTCTGCTTTAATCTTTGATAGATAGAATCTGATTAGGTTAAGAGAGTTTCCTTGAGTGAATTGATTGTACGAGAATCCGTTAATTCACTGCTTTGTACTGGAATTCGTTCCACGTAGTGGAGATCTGTGTGAATCGCCTTAGCATTATATCTCAATGAAGGCTAGTCGCTTGTCAGATAATATGTCTAAGAGGGCTTGGTCAGTTTAAGAGATTCCAAACTATTTTTCGGATACCACGTTAAATCTTGGTGTTCGTTCGTTCTAAGTTCATAATATTTGACATGGTATCAGAGCCTATACTCTAAAGATTGGTCATTCTCCAGGTTGGTTTTCTATTCGACAGGTTTTTTCTTTAGCTACGTAGGGTTTGGCTTTGGCAGTGTGGGTTTTATTTTTTGTAGAGTCGGATTATTATTTGTGCAACATGGGTTTCTTTGCTTTCCGCAACGTGAATTTTGTGCAGCGTAGGTTTCTTTACTTGCGCAGCGTGGGTTTTCTCTTTGGTTTGCTAGATGGGGTTTCTTTACTAGCTTGGTTTAGCTGCTCTAGTTTTGCTAGCTGCGTTATCTTGGCTAGATTGGTTCGGTTGCTCCGTGGTTTTTCTCGTCTTGCGTTTATTTTTTTATATTATGTTTGTGTTTGATGGATCTCTCACGAGCTGATTTCGTCTCGATCAAGTTTGATGGCAGCAACTTTGCCATATGGGAATTCCAATTTCGGAATTCTGTGGATGGGAAGCGTCTTCTTCCCGTTTTATTTGGTGAACTCTAGTAGTCAGCTTCCAATGCGGCGCCCAAGGATATAGAATATTGGATGACACCCAATATTCAACTCATCACATGGATGGTGGTGTCGGTCAGTATCCCAACCACCCTTAGTGTACGCCAGTTTGAATTGGAGATGGCGATCACTTGTTTGGTTCCACCTCTGGACTGAATATGATATCTTGACTGCTTCTTTGGTTCCAGTTGTAGCTTCAGAGGCTGTCATTCCAGAGCGTGCTCGCACTCGCGTTCTCATGTTTCTGGCTAAACTCTTGTCTGAATACGAGCCCATTCGTGCCTTGTTGATTCATCAGGGAGTTACGGCTTAAGAGTCTGGTACGGCTTAAGATTTTGGTGTTGTAGTTGAGCTCATGCGAGGAGGTACGCTAAGAGTCAACCACAGACCGATCATCCGAACTCCCTTATTGAATCGACATTTGCTATTTGTTGCCTACTACTGCATCTCGTCCTCAATTCGTTACTCCTAGCTTGGGTGATGTCATTTGTCATTTTTTTCTGGAGCCAGGCGACGCGCGTCCAGATTCACTGCAAGAAGAGGAATTTTTATAACTACTGTAAGCGTACGACGCACATTGTTCTAGCTTGCACGACGTGGAACAAGAGGGTATCCTGCATCCTGCTACTGGTCTCCACTCCTCCCCGCATGGCGCTGCCTATTCTGTCACCATTAGCTGGCCTACCGTCGTTACTACTATTGGGTCAGGGGCTGCTGGCCCCATCTCCGCGGATCAGATACAATGCATGGTTCAAGAGGTGTTGCAAGCTGCTCTCTCTTTCGCCTTTGCCATGAGTCCCGCGTTTGGTAAGTCCTCGCGTTGGCTTTTAGAATGCGATGCATTTAACCATATGATCCTTGATCGTAGAATGAGGTGCATGTTTATTATATGAGACAACTAGTGATTGAAGGAGTTATACAAATTGGTTATTTTTCTACTGAAGATCAAACTGCAGATTTACTACTCACGAAGGCGGTTGCTTCGAGTAGACATTGGTACTTGTCTTCCAAATTGATGTTGCGAACCGCACATCTATTAGAGGGAGGATGTTAATTTATATTGTTTTAAGTACCATTATGTAAATAGCCATATTAGTTGTCTGGTAATTAGGTAAGTGTTAAACCCCATATATATAGCCGAACACAACTATTCTTCTGTAACTAAGTCATCTTGATTTTAGTGAAATTCTTTTGAAGAGCACAACCTCTTCTATAAATTAGTCCTGATATTCAGGAATAACACGTTAAATTTTAGTGTTCGTTCTTAGTTCGTACTATTTGACATACTGACATACAAAAGACATCAAAGAGAACAGGAGAAACACATAAAAAGTCGCCATGAAATCATTGTTTATTTTAGGGAAAGTGATCAAATATTACACTCCAAAATGCATCCTTCTTTCTCCTAGCTTTGGTACTTAGCCTTGTAATCTCTCCAAAGACCATCCACGTCCTTCCCCAGCAAATCCCGAAAGTACGTCTCACTGTATCCAACCCTCATCTTCTTGTTCAACTTACCCACGAACCCACGTTTCAGACCATCGCAATACCCAAGAAACCCGGCCGTAACCCCATACCCTTGATCCCATTTGTCCCCTTCACCTAACCGAATCGGTCCAGACGGTGACTCGTAACCAGCCTTCTTCCTTACGAAATCCGCAATCCCTTCAATCAATCCCGACGGTGCTTTCCCATCCCCGTTCCACTGCCACACGTGCGTCATCTCGTGATAAATCTCCGACGCAACTAGAACCCTCGGCGGTGCTGACGTGGCGGTCCCCAGGTAACTGGCGCTGAGGTGGATGTCGTTGTCGCTGCTGTAGGCTATGCCATCTTCCATAAAGTCGAGGAAGAAGTCGATGTTGGTGACGTGTTTCCTCTGCGTGGCATCATTTTGCTGGCGGAACGTCTTCCATATGAACCGCGTGGCGCGTGACATGGTCTGCTTGGTGTATGGCGCGCCAACGCGGCTGTCAAAGATGGAGCCGCCCGCTGATCCCGTTGCGTTGTTGGTTACCGTGTAGCGGACACCGTGGATGACATGGACCGTGGAGAGAGCGACAACCAAATGAATGAAACAGTTTGAAGGCATTGGGATTTGGGTCGCTAGTTATCAGGCAATTGTTGTGCATGCTTTGCTAATAATGGGTTATTGACTAACTGGTGTAGGTTTATATATACGACGATGGAGGTAGCGCACAGCTCCGTTTTTAATCCACGTCTGGGCAACTACTTTGGTGAAGACAAATGCTAAAGGATATCAGTAGTCAATCAAGTAATTAGCTAACAGGGAACCCAAATGCTAGAAATGGGAGGGGTCCTCCAAAATTAATAAATAATCATTGATTGTATTGATACTATTTTGATGAATCATTATCTGTACAGCCAAATGCTAAACGATTACCAGGTCAGTAAACTAGGTATTTATAGGTCGCATTTGACATAAATGTTTCGATATTTTCATGTCCAATCAGAAACTTGCACATAGGGTGAAAATTCCAAATTGTGGAATTTGGAAGTTCTTTCATTAGTAAAGAATAGATGGGAACAATAATCAAGTGCTTCCAATATGATGCCGTTTTAAAAAAAAGGAGAGTAGAGAAAGAAAAGGGCGGCAAAATCAGTTGAGTAATTTCTCGTAGAAGTGGCTATACGGTCCGGTCCGGTTAAATTGGCCCAAACTGATCCGGTCCAGTTCGATCTTTTTGAAAATATAAGGACCGAAGATTGGATTGGATACAGTCCGGTTTTTATCCGGTCCGGTCCCAATTCGGTCTTGATTTTACATTGAGATTGTGGGATTTGAGTGGCCTAAGGCCTTAAAGGGTGAGGAGTTGGTTAAGTTTTGTACTAAGTGCAAAGGTTTGTGACCGTTTATGCAAATTACCCTTAAGTTTTGGGTGTTGAGCTCTCTTATCCGGTCTTTATCCAGTTTTTTACCTCAAATCTAAGCCCAAAGATTGGATTGGATTGTTTACTATCCGGTCCCGGTCTGGTCTCGGTCCGGTTTCCGGTTTTTAATCCGGTCCCGGTCCAAATAGCCACCCCTAATTTCTCGAGCTCCAGCAGCGGCTACCTCGCTGTTCTTTCTTCTCCCTTTGCACGGACTTTGTCTCCATTCTTCTTTAAGACCTTACTGTTTTGCCACAATCAAACCAACTAGTATTCAGCCAATCAATTCCCAACTAATATCAACAATCATACCAACTAGTATTCAATATAGATACTCTTATGTGTTATCAGGATATTAATTATGTGTTGTATGGATACTATTATGTATTGTCTAGATATTAGTTTGTGAATTTGAGATAATAGTTGATTCATGGTGGATATCAGTTAGCACTTAGCAAACCTTGAATACTAGTCTATACTATCTAGATACTTTAGTACTTAGATACTAGTTCATGTATTTTGGATATCAGTTAGTATCTGCTAACAAATCTTCAAGTTAGCAGATTAACTTTTTTGACTGTTTGGGATCGCCGCTGTTTCTTTAAGACCTTAATGTTTGGGCATAATTGTGCTTGATGGTTGGTGAGCGTTCTTGGGCAGAGATGTTTAGATCCCAGAGGAAAATAGAATCGTCTTGTTGAAATACCTACTTTACTTAGATTGGGTGGCTTATTATAATTGTCATTAAGTCATAAACTAGTTATGATTACGGTTAGGAGAGATCCATGGCTCATATGTACGTGTATATATAAATCCTCCATGTATGTACGGCTGGAATAAGGTGAATAAGATTGATTTTCGAGAGTTCTAGCTTCACTAGTCCCGAATCTCATGTTTGTGTTTATGATTTCAGTTTTTATCATGGTATCATTAGCTTCCTATCTAAGACTTTGTCATCTTAGTGTTTCGACTGCTCCTGTAGCGATCACGGCTCATTAGGGTTCGTCCTCTCAGTTTGGCTGCTCGCTAGATCTCCTAAATTGATTCTCTCTATTCGGCTGCTTACTAGGTCTCCTAGCTTGATTCTTCTTCTGATCGTGGTCCTTCCTACTTGGGTTCAACTTCTCCTTTGATAGGTCTAATTATCTTATTTGTTTGATCATTGCTAACAAGCTTTTACTAACACAACTAAATTACGACCAAGTATAATAGTAATCTAGGAATGCAGTATAGTGGTTCAGGTTCTAAGTATCAACCCGGGTTCTAGGTGTACTGGTTTCTCCGTGCAATTCTATTATCTAGCTGTGAAGGTCGAGTGAAATTGATTGTAAACTAAAGTGGAAAGAGAGCAAGTAGATGTTCGGGTTTTGAAATGCAAGAGAAGTCACTCGGGTATGTGTCCCCTTAGCTCATCAAATAGATACAAGCATGGAACTGACTGACTCTCGCATAATCGATTCCCTAGTATCAATTGAGGTGACTCTTTTAACCTAATCAGATTATATCTATCTTAGGCCAAAGCACAAATCAAGGGAATGAAATCAAGATTCAAATGACTCAAATAATCATGCCTCAATTCACTACAAGAAAAAAAAGCTATTGCGGCAAAGCATATCTGTCACAATAAGTCATATATTTGCCTCTAATTCTTATGGCACATAAATATGTGACACCATAGTGCTGTTGCTAATTCTTTTTAGAGGCAGATAGTAGCAACAAATACAAATGGTCTCTAATCACAGAATTAGTGGTTAACATTTTTGTGGCTAATTTCAATTTTTGAGACTCGTTTTTTTGCCTTCTTTTAACAATGTAGAGTCTTATGTATTTGCCGCTATTGTTCATTTTAGTGACAGATATTTGGGTTTGTAATAGTTGATTTTGGTGATAATAGTATTTCTTTAAATAATTAAAATTATTTATTTAATTATTCCCTTTTCATTTTATATTTGACTATTTATAGCTAATTTTAAATGGTAAATCCTAGTCCCTGCTCCGAATTTCTTTGTTATGATTTAGAATTTAATATCCCAATTATTCCATCGTATACTAGTTCTGGAAACACCAAAAATCGGTTCCGATTCTCCTATTTTCTTGCTATATGGCGCTCCTCATCTATATCCATCATCTGGGGAGAGATGGCTATAGTGAATTCAGAATGACTTCTTCAACGAAGAGATCTTCTGCCCTACTTTGTAATACCTAGTCGGCATTTTCAAATAAGACTACATTCAATAAGAAAGTAATCAAAACAAAACTATAGAAGTAAAAAAATCGCCCAAATATTGAACTTCTCCATCCAATTGTAGCCGATGAGACTGGAAAGGAGCAACCAGCTATTCAAAGATGCCATGATGGGTGCTTGGAATTGACGACAATGGAAGAAGACATGTATAACTAGGAGGCGGCACAACTTGATAGAGATGGGAAGTTTGCATAACGGGGAAGGAGAACGAGAGAGAGACTTTTTTCCTAATTTAAACCCAATGATCTCTGATTGATATGGTCGTAGAGAAACAATATGTCTCTCGAGATCGGCTCCGCTCCCACCGCCTCCTACGGCAGCGGCGCCATCGGTGGAGGCCCCGTTCCCTCCGCTGCTAATTTCGATGCAGAACCGCCTCTTCTCGACGAGCTCGGGCGGGGGTATCAGGTTCGTCATATCTGGAGTTTTCGTGATCTGGGCCCCTAGGGCTTGCACCAATCTCATGGTGACAGTGGCCAGAGGCGGAGAAGAACATCGTGGGTTGATTGCGGATTGAAGGAGGAGAACATTGTGGTGTTCATGTTCGACAATATCGCTAACAGCGAGCTTAATCCCAGGCCCGGGACCATCATCAACCACCCGCAAGGCGACGAACTTTACGCCGGCGTCCCCAAGTTTGCTTCCGACGATGCGAATCCCGATGGCCGGCAATTACACTTTAGGAGGCTTCAGTTTTGGGGTCCGACAGTTACAATTCCAGAGCATCAGTTAAAAATCCAGAGGCGATTCCAACTGCGATCCGTTTCAGTTATGCTTATTCTATCTCTTTCCTCCCTAATTTTAATATTTATTTATTTCCAGAATTATAATTCTAAAATCTTTTAATTTATTTTCCTTAACTGCTCGTATTTATAAACTTTTCATTAACTTTACTGTAAAAAAAAAGTAATAAAAAATGTTTTTCTTTTGGCCTTGTTAGCTTTTGATTCGGAGTATCTGACTAAGCCCCAATGGCTTGTTTAAGTCCATTCGGTGGAGCTTAGTTGTCCTCCTCTATGGGCGCTTGTGTGTTTGTTTGTTTTTGTAGGGGGCACATAGTTTTCCCTTGACCATACAAGTATCCATCCATTATGATTCAATCTCGTGATGTGGAGCATGCGACAGGTGGAGCGATCTTGGAAGAGATTTGTTTGGCGTCTGTGTCTTTTAATTTCTTTATTTGTACTTTTACGCAGAGGTTGTACAATAGGGCTGCCCACTTAGTGGCTTCTAATGCCCTTTCATCGACAGCTCGATATTGTGTCGACTGTCGCGTCTGGTTTTCTAGCGTCCTGTAATATCTATTTCATTCCCGATCAATGGCAAAAAAAATTAAAACCCAATGAGGCAAAAGTAAGGGAAAAGCCGAGATAAGGGATAAGCCACTTCTATTTTTTCGGACACGTTCTTTTTTTTTTTTGTAGAAAATGGGACGCTAAAAGGGCGCCCCTGCCTGGTACTAAATTAAACGATCTTGGGTGATACCCATAGTGTCATATAGGATCCAAAAGTTAAGACCCGGATCCGAAATATCAAAGCAATGAGTGCCTAGACTGAAGCCATGGGCCTTATTGGCCAAATAATCGGCCGCTTTGTTACACTCGCGGTAAGAATGAGAGATATGGACCTCCCAATTTCGTTTCAACAGCTCCTGAAATCTCTTGATGAGGTTGTGGTAGCGCCTGCTTTCATGATCCTTAGAAGTTAAGAAGTCCATGGCTGCAGTAGAATCAAGCTTGAGAAGGACTTTTCTGTGGCCTTGATCCCAAGCAACCTGCAGACCTGTGAGAGCTCCAACGATCTCCGCCCTGGTTATGGAGCAACAGCCGAGGTTTGCGACAAAAGCACCTATACACCGGTCGAGGTGGTCGCGAAGCCACCCTCCTGCTGCTGCCGCCGAATATGTTGCTGAACGGAGCCATCCGAATTAACTACTATCCAGTCGGTGGGGGGTGGCTGCCAAGAAAGTTCCTGTCTGCTTTTAGTAGTCGTCGTCGCGGTGAGCAAGGACGCTAGCCTCCTGGAATTTGTGTTCGAACACTAGGCCGTTTCTTCTTCTCCACAGGTACCAAGACGCCACACCAAACAGCAACTTTGTCTCCTTGCGTTTCAGATTTCTCGCCAACCAGCCTGCAAAGTTTAAACCATGTGTGAGGGAGGTCTCAATTATTCCAAGTGAATCCCATACCTGTCAGGCCATAGGGCGCCGTTTCTGGTCCTGCTTTGCAGAGCTCGCACACATCACTATCGCAAAGC